TCGGAGTGCTGATAGGTATGGGAATTATTCGATCAAAATGTTTCAATAAATAGTGTTGCTAATAAGATAAGGATAAATGAATCAAAGACATGCGGTTACGATTCAAAGATCGACCTACAGTTCGTCGATCGATGATCGTATGCGCGCTTGAAAAAATACGCCGTCATACGAGTGATTATATCCGTCCAATAGCACTAAATGAGGCACTTTTTACATTAAATATACCTAAGACAATCATTTTGTATTTACTTATCTGTGTTGAAAAGAAAGTGAAAATATTTTTTTATCGTTTTTCTTATTCCCTTTATTCCTTAACCTTGCATTTCTTTACGCCTGCAGGTCGTCAAAAACTGACAGCGAAAAAGAGGATCACTTTTCTATCCTCGCGTTAAAGTCTCCGAGAGAACCAATTATTACTCGTATAGGTTGACTTGAACAATACGCATGTGCGGGTTTTTCTGAATGTTTAGTTTATGAGCGCCGTCCACTCAGCGTTAATTATTGCATACGTTGAAAGAAAATAGCACTTTATTTTAATAGACTGAAAATCAAAATCTCCACATTGGAAGAAGAAAGTAAGTCAGTTTGTAAACTCTAAATATTTAAAAAAAAAAAAAAAATGAAATTCTGGAAGTTAAGTCAAGGCAGGATGTTTCGTGAAATGTTTTTGTTATAATAAAAACTATGACGTTAACTGGACCGCGTTAAGCAGAAAGGAACCAAGCCACATCAGCTATTGCCAATCTTGCCAATCTTAATCGGGCATAATTCAATTTTTTACGTGAAAACGGTTGTGCGGACTTTCATGCAAGTTTCGATGAATTTTCTGCATAGTATGAAGCAAATTCCGGAACATTTTCAAAGGAGTCTGCACAAACGCTCTCTTGTAAAACAGTAAATTGCCCAATTAAATTTGGCAATAGCATGATGTGGCTTGGTTCCTTTCTGCCAAACGTGGTCCAACTGTAAGGCTCTGGATCGACAAAAGCATCAATGACCATCCGTGATGCCAACGCCTGGATGCAACTATTCGTGTTTCATGGATAACCGTGAAGCATATACGAGAAATTGAAGGCGTTTTGGCTTCCTTGATGCCAACGCCTAACTATTTGTGATAAATGAATCGTCCTAGCAGCATGCACGAAAAATTTAGGACGTTTTGACGTTTCTTGCCCTCGAATGATGATATAATTCACGCCGATTCTCGCCGAGAGAATGGTTCACAAATTTTGAACCTTCTGAACCTAGCTGAACGTTCACCTTCAGCTAGATGCTTTTATGAACGAGCCCAAAATTGTAGTTCCTTATTGCAACATTTAGTCCAGATATTAGTATTAAGATAAACTCATTACGATGAAATGTGGTGGGGGATGTTCCTATGAAAACTTTGTCATTTTAGAGGAAGCTTAAGATTGACAACACTGGCTCTCGCTCTGGGGGAAGAGAGCGAGGAGAGCTTTCATAAATCACTTCACTTGGGAAAGACCATTAGCGATCAGAGAGCAACGATAGTCATAATTATGCGGCACCGCCAATTTCAATATGATTGACGCCTCATTCAAATGCGCTCTCGATCTGCGCGCGCGGTTAGCCTAAATATTTATAATGGATGATGTCGTTTTATTTGCCGTCCGTTTATGTCATGCAGCGCTACATTGTAGCGAGTACGAACTGAACTGAGAGTACTCAAAGGTTATCTAAGATTACCATGTTATCGAGCCATAGCTAAACTTATTACAGAGAAAGTAATTTTTCCGTATGTAGACGTTATTTCTTATCAATGAACGGCGCCGAAAAATAAGGACCGAAAATATGAACGCTTTATTACTTATCTGATTAGAGAAATATATATACTTATATTATCTAAGAATGATTCGAAGAGGGACAAGGGATGTCCTTGTCAATAACTCTCAATATCAAAAGATCTTAGCCCGCCCTGCTCCGCAATGCGCATTAGTACCAAAAAAAATGAAGATGAGCCAAACAAAAAGTGAGAAATCTTCCTCGGTTATTTTATACGATGCGTTGAAGATCCAAACATCTGAAGCCATAAAATAGTTTTCCAAAACCGGTTTCAATAGAAACGCGCCAAGTTGAATTGTAAAAAATAAAAATAAAAAAAATAAATAGATAAAAAATAAGAAAAACTCGAGAGTAGTTTTGAATTCAACTTATGTCCTGAATTTTTTCTTACATAGAAAACTCAAGGTCAAGGAGAACAATTCTGAACATGAAAAGTGTAAAATTTTCTCCTTGACTTTGAGTCTTATGGAGAAATAAAATTTCCTACCAGTTTTCTCGGTCCATACTTGATGCAACGTGTTAATGCGCAGTTAATGCGTTAATTCTAATTTTATATAAATTCTTCATCAACGTGGGGTATAAGTTGGCGGGTGCCTCTACTAGACTATCCCAGAACCTTCAACTTTGTAAGAGTCCAAAAAACGCGCATAAGCCACTTCCTTAATCACTTTCAAACACGACGAAGTTATTAATTTCTTCCCGACGGATTGTTAACGGAGAGAAATGAATACTATCAGTTAAAAAATAATCGACGCAATGTGACCCCGTGACATTTCATAACCTATCTATGATTTTGTTAGGTCATTTTGAACCCAACATCGTGACTTGCGCTAACTGGATTCTTCCGCTATCGCAACCGAAATATCACAACAGTCATCTTGATTTATTACTGGAAGCAAATACCAAAAGCTATCTGACAGAAGTTTGTTCAGATATCTCAATACGAATAAAGTAATACGTCTCCCTCAAAAAAAGCCTACGTTTCTCATCCCAAACTGTATGTTTTCTTGATAGATTCTCTCCTTTCGTTGTTCTCAAGAGGCATATGTACAAAATTTTGTCTATGAGTAATTCAAGAAGATAATAGATCGAGAGGTCGCAGTGCATGGGGCAACCCACCAGAAAAAGGAAAAAAAAAAAAAAAAAAAAAATTCAAGAAGATGGTTAAATTTTATAACTACAAAAATTTCGTAGTGATATCTCGATGTTCCACGATGCTCACTCAGATTTGATACAACTTCACTCCCTGTGAAAGCATCCTAAATGAGATGGAAATTAAAATGCTCATAGAGTGATCAAACACTGCGTCGCGTTAATTCTTGTATGTCCCCTACACTAGAAGAACGCCGTATAAACATTCGAGAGTTGCCAAATTTCCTCCGATAAAATGTTTATTTTTGAAGGATATTATCAATATTTGTCCTGGAAATTTGCAGATTTAAGATCAAATTGCAAGCACAATTACCTGAGAAATTAGAAGAAAAAAATCAAAAATTGTCCTAAAAATTAGTGATTTGCCAGATAAAATTTTGTAACGCCTATGGCTCAAACGACGTTCACTCTTTGGGCAATCACCCATGTAAATTGGTGCCAAACATTAGAGGAAGGGATTTTTCGGGATCAATAGAGGTAATTCACGACAAATATCTAAGCTTACGGTTCTTCGCGACTCTTTTTTGTTACTTAACTTCGTTTGATCAAAATCCGCGAAAAGCTGGCTCAAAATTTCTATTCTTCATCCATTTGGACTCCGTAATAAAACATTGGTCCCTGATTCGCTCCCCAGGTTTCTTCGATTTATCTCATACATCCTATCAGATGGAGTTGTTTTCAAAAATGCTGGCAGAATCCCAAAAAGCACAGTACAATGAAAAAATTGAAATAAAATTGCGATTTATTGCAATGTAATTGTAATTTTTTTACCTCTACATTGCAACATTTTTACATCATTTGGTCAATAAATGCCGATTTTGAGCAATCAACAGCGTGAGTTCCACGTGTCAGAAAGATAGACAAATGAAATTCAATGAAAAATTGCAATTTATTTAAATTTTTATTATCATAAATTCCAACAAAAATTGTACTTACGATCAGTAGATAAGCAACATATACAACCGCATAAGACCCACAATCCCCCAAGAGACATATCAATAAATGTTCACAAATTATGTTAGATATCGATCGAATACTTAAAGATAAAGACCGAATTAATCCTCTAACAGTCTCAATTAAAGCTATGAGAAAATTTAAGACCAACGGAGTTCCCATGATAACTAAGTGTATAAAACACCTGTCACCAAACTTTGTTCATGAGAATAACATTATAGACGACCAGATTGGAAAGTCCAATCTAGTGGAAAACATAAGACTATTACCTCCATTGTTACTATTTACCTACACAAATTATCACCTCTTACCTTCAGAAATTAGGAGCGTAGACTGTTTTTTATTCTCCCAAAAAATCGGGTATTTTGATATCCATGGTAAAATACTTTCGTCATGTCCCCGTCGAGATTGCTGGCAATCATTTCATTTTCTGATCGCGAAAGAGGGGTCTTTAAATGTATGCACACGTGCGCTTGTGACCCGCAGTTTGAACTATGTCCATCGACGGCACAAAATCGGGGTGCGGTTCAAAAGCAAGGTTAAGACATAATGGGACGGTGAAGTTATTGTAACGGTGAGCAATTTCGCTCGTATATTTGAACACGACAATATCGGCATTACGACTGCACACGGTGCGTGAGCCAAATGGGCCGCTAACTTGACGGCTGCATGACTCTTTATTGCCTCATCGAGATTTCAGAGCTCTACATGCACAAAGATCTGTCTGAAATGGGACGGATCCTATTTCAGAGTTAAGTAGAGAGGTTTTGGATGGAATTTAAACAACTTGGGGCTTTCACGTTAACGTTACGTGACGTAACACTATACGGTCATCTTACAACGTACGAAGCAAAATCCCTCTTTCTTGGGAGGGGCTATTGGGCCAAGTGAATTTCCAGGCATAGCGGATTCCTTCCAGGGATACCTTCCTTCCTCCGCTAGTTCCGCCCACATGATGTTAAATTCATCTTCTTTTACTACATGGAACGCATTGTTTCCCCTGTCTTTGAGTGAGTTTCATCTGTTCATCAAGGTTTTTTTTTTTTTATAACCTAAATATATGTATATGCATTTTTGTTTCTTTTTTTCAGCGGTCGATTTAGAGGTCGTGTCAATTCCAAACTTAACGAAAACTCGTAGATTACGAAGATCAGTAAATTTAGGAACAATGCGCCTGAATGCGGCTAAGCTAGGTAGTTCCTTCCAATTGAACCTGAGACCAACTCCATACCTTCTAGATCCTGATTTCAAAATGGTGCGGCGATGGCGGAATTTCACAGAGGACTTCGTCTCAGAATCAGCGCGACCAAATTGCTTTTATCAAAGTGAGGGGCCAGACAGAGCTGCACTGAGCGTTTGTGACGGTTTGGTAAGATCATTGTTGATAATTTGAGTATTCTTTTCAAAATGAGCAAAAAAATTATCTTGCGCGGGAGAACACTTTGATAACCGCTCGTTAATGTCTTGAGATTTTGTTAAAACTTTGGAGCGACGAGGATGCACTAAGTTTTCTTTTCAAAATGAGCAAAAAGAGTATCTGGCACGAGAGAACGCTTTGCTAACCGCTCGTTAAAGTCTCTGAATTTGGTTAAACTTCTGGAGAATCTTATAAAAAATAAAAATAAAAAAAAATGGTAAAAATATACCTTAGGGGGCTGCGTCCCGCTTTATATATTTATTTATCATAGGCAAGTCCCCATAATACATAAGCAAAATAAATGTATAAATCAAACATTTCTGGCCAAACTTAAGGTATGAGGATGATTTTTCTACGAATACAACACTCGGTCGAGTAAAATTTGGTAAAGGTTAATTTTCTCAAAAAATCTTTCCTCGGCCCACGTACAGAATAGAAAAAAGCTTCAAGAAATCAATTTCAGAAGCTGGATATTGAACCTAATTTCTTTGTTCACAGAGAGGAATCATCAGTACGCAAAGCTCAAAATTATTCACAATCAATCCTATCCCTAAAAGACTGCAAAACAAAGATGAGAACTCGTCCATACAGCACATCATCACACGACGAGACATCCGAGAGATTCCTCACTTTTCTCTCATGGAGTCCTTCCACAGAAAGACGGTTGCCCGGACGAGCGACAAAACATCGTTCCTCAGACCGGGGGACAAATGGGCCACCGGAAGCCCAAATTCTCGTATACAAAATGTCCACATTCAAGACCGAAAATTTGCTCAAACCGATAATGCGAGTGCGTCGGATAGTTTCTGCGCCAACAGTTTCTTGAATTTGGTGATCGAGAATGGTTCCAGGAGAGAGAGGTCGGTGCCTCCGCTGGGATCGTCTGTCCATGTGGAGACAGCTGTGTTCGTGGATCGGGATCTCTATGATCACATGGCCATAAATTTTGGATCGGATGCCGAGACTGAGAAGGAACTCATCCGGTTCGTCCTCGCTATGGTGAATGCGGTAAGTCCATGGAAGATCAAGCACCTTCGATTAAGTATTCGTCGTTGCTGAAATGGTTAGCTTTTATCCAGATCCTATTTTTAGAGATCTGGCTATATATAGCTATCTAGGCAATGTATTCAAGTGAGGCAAATGCAGGGTTGCGCGAGTAAAAAGAAAAATACGAGAGATTGGAAATTTCCGTGAAATATTTCATGAAATTTCACAAAATTGTGAAAAATATTATGCACTTTTTCAGAAGCTGAGTATGCAACTCACACTAAATGTCACCAAAAAGCGAAAACCATTTGCCTTTCATTTATGTTAATTTAAAATAAAAAAATCATGTGTTTTTTAAAATTTCATGAAAATATGTCACATGGCATTTCAAGATTCCATTTTCATGAAAAATTTCAACTCTGCCGGTTAAAGAGATTCCGGGTTTGATTTCCGGCCAAGCGACCTAAATTTTATGGTCCCGGGAAATATGTATAAAGGGTTTCTTTGTGGAAACATGTTGCGATCGCGTCATTACAACAACATATGTATAAAAAGTTTACCGGAATCGGCTGTTTGCTAAGACCACCATCTGGAAAAAAGGCGGGCTAGGGGGCCAAAATACACCGCCGGCGACCGGTTTTTCGTTTTATCTAAAAAAAATCAATTTCACGGAAAAATTTCATAAGTCCTTTCATAAAAAGAGCACAAAATCTCCAATGAGAAACACTATACACTAATCAATTTGTGACTTCCGGTTGTACGGCCGCCAGTTGGCACGAAAAGCACCGTGCAAGACTGCACGAATACTTCATGCATTGCGCCACGCGCAGTACGGTCGCTGGTCGGTGCGGAAAGCATATCAGCGCCTACAAACGAGAAGGAATACTTCACGCATTGCGCCTAACACAGTGCGGTCGCTGGTCGACGCGGAGAGCATATTAGCGCCTTCAAGACTGCATAAATACTTCACGCATTGCGCGTTCACTACTGTGCGCGCTTTAATCATATTGAAAATTCGTAATATCTCGGTGCTGGGCCCACCGCGGTTTGCACCATTTCCGACCATTTGCACCCCTGAATGGTATCTTAGTCTATTGAGTCACTGATGTCGCAGATGGTCCGTTTCTTTCTGATGGACTATGATTGAAACGAGAACCGCTCTGAAGCGATAAAATAAGCCGGTTTCTTGAGTTCTCGTGACAGAGAGAGATTAGGTACAGTATTATTATTTTCTTCCGATTCCGGTAAACTTTTGATACGTTGCTCTGATGGCCGATTGCAACATGTTTCCGCAAAAAAAGCTTCTATGCATTGATTTTCCCAAATTGCCCTTTTTTAAAGCTGATATGACTGGAATAGTTACTCAAAAATGGGGGGAAAAAAAAATATAATCGGAGGTCAACGCTATTTTTCACCGACCAGTCGGCGTGGGCCGTGGGGCCTGTCATTCACCACATACATTGTAATAAGCGACTCTTTTTTCCTTCGTAACATTAAATCTGCGAGATCATTATTGAAGGTGAAACGGCAAAAATACGCATCGAAATGCGTATTTTGTGGCTGTGCTTTAAACTTTCCACGCCTTTTTTATTTTTTAAAAGGAAATCGGAAAAACATCCAGGCTTGAAACTTTCACAGAATCTTCTTTATATGGAGAAGAAAAATCTCTGAAGTTCTCAAGCAATGACGTTAAGTACAGGGGCGTAGCTAGGAAATTTCTCTGGGGGGGGGGGCATGGGACCACCTCTCGTGGTGAAGAGAGCGGGGGGG